CAGGAACTAAACCTGGATTCCAACTAGAACCAGGAACTAAACCTGGAATCCAACTAGAACCAGGAACTAAACCTGGAATCCAACTAGAACCATGAAACTAAACCTGGAATCCAACTAGAACCATGAAACTAAACCTGGAATCCAACTAGAACCAGGAACTAAACCTGGATTCCAACTCGAACCATGAAACTAAACCTGGAATCCAACTGGAGGAACCAGGAATTGAACCTGCACTTCAACCAGAAGAACCAGAACCTCAACCTGCATTTTAACTGGAGGAACCAGGAACTAAACCTGGATTCCAACAAAGAACCAGGAACTGTGACTGTTACGTAAAAGAAGAATTAAATAACTATCAAACGCTCAGCAGATCTCCGCTGTGGAGACAGACGCTCTGAAGTTTTCACTCTCCTCTTTTGCATTTCTTTATTGAGGAGTCAAAGTCAAACACCAGAATGAGGCAACATGAAAGTGTTGTTTCCTTATGTGTGAGAAGTCAAACGTCACTGTGGTTCTTTGTCTAACCTTTATATCTTGTTTGTTAAATCTCTTTCTTTGGCGGTTATGTGCCGCACTCTTTCTTGATCGTGAGCTTTAGAGTTACTAAAGCCAGGCTAACTGTTTCCCCTCGTTTCCAGTCATTATGCTAAGCTAAGCTAACCGTCTCCAGCTGTCGGATTGATCTTCTTGATTAACTCTCTGCAAGAAAGTAAATCATATTCCCAAACTATTCTTTTTTTTTTTTAAATACTTGTTTTACACCCCCGGTCCTCCTCAATGTTTACGCCATGAGGTCATTTAATTAAACACAAATTAATTTAGGAGTACACGATAAAATCAGTATGAAATAATGAATGCCTGTGTGAAGTAGATTCATGATGAGGGGCTTATTGATCTACTAGAGGGGCTTTCTCTGATTTTGGGCTTTGGTGTAAATTCTCTTTATGTCGAAACAAAGTTATATTGAATAAAAACTTTATGCTTCTGTTGTTCACTTTGCCCAGAAAGTCCTCCAGCCTTGACTTTAAAGTAACAACAAAACAACAAACCGAAGACGTGACGCCTCATAAACCTTGTTAGATGAGGCGATGTCTATGTGAAGACTCTTTAAGGGTTTTTAAAAATATCAAATATTTTGTTGTAATAATGCTACAGATTAAAGGACAGATGTGTCTTTTTTTATTAGTTGAATCACTTGTTGTAAATGCTGAGATTTATGATGCTGATCTCCAGGTTGGGAACCGCTGCATTAAATATAGTCATAATGTTTATGACTCAGAGGAAGAAAAACTAATCTGCACATGAACTCCAACGACTTTTACAATTGTTTTAGGGACATTATCAATTTAGCTGAAATACTAAATTTCTTCATAAAATATTATTTCTATTGAAGTAACTTCTCTTTGTCAGACATGTTATTTATTTATTGTCCGAATTCACAATGTAACTCACAGGAAATGGAAATATTATAATGTGACATACTGTAAGCGCTCAATATAGAAACATTTAGTGAATAAGGATGCACATTTTTGCAGGAATAATATATAAATATTATAGAAACATGAAAGGACATTTAATCTCAATTACATGTATTCTACATATTTATACATCGTGACTCAAAATGAAGTCTTTTAAAATGTTGAATAATTAAACTTTGTATTGTGTTTTGGCATATGCATGATTTAAATAATATATATATATTGTACATACTATGGTTGTATTATAAAATTAGATTATGATAATATTATTATGAATCACCTGATGAGGTTCAACACAGACTGAAATATAAAAACACTCACAGCTGCTCCAACTTTTATTCACCATCATAAATATCCAGTTTATTACAAAACAACACATTATAAATAGATTTATAAAACACACGGAAACATTTTCTCGCGATAAAAGTGACACGTTTGCAGAAAAAAACACCACACAACAAAAACAGAACTCACAAAGTCCCAAATAAACACGACCACGTTTGGTTTATGATCCGGTGGACTTTTTCATCCATAGATTAACAATGAGTGAAGTATTAGTTCGTTATCTGATGAGGATAAGAATGGAAATCAATAAATCAGTTCCAATATATATGCAACAAAAAGGGGAACTCGCTGTGACACGAGTACATATACCATAAAAACTGATTATTTTAATTTAAGAAAAGACTGAAAACTAAATTAAAAAGTGACTCTTAAGTTAAAAAAATGTTTCTTCACTTTAAAATTCAATTATTCTCACGTTTTATTCTGTAATGTTTGAAAACTGACATCTTTTCTGGAAAATACTATTTTTTTCTGGCATAAACCAAACTCCATTAAAGAAAGACGTCATGTTCTTACTCTTCTAAAAGTGGCACTTATCGTTTAAGGGGCTGTTTTAAATTTTAAATATTCATTTTTAAGCCGAAGACGAGCTTATGAAGTGGAACTTCTTCAGGCTTTTACGCATTGTGTCCCTCAGTCAAAGTGTTTGCTTCACCAGCTCCAGTGGTACATGTGCGCCAGCTGCCGCACCCCTGGATGCTGCTGCGGTAGCCCGGGGTACTCCGCGCCGTATGCGGGGTGCAGCAGCGGGGAGTAGGCGCACAGAGGCAGGCTCAGGCCGGACCTGAGCGTCACCTCCAGGTCCTGCGCTGTGATCCGGTCGCAGGGCTTCCCGTCCCGCACCAGGAGCGGGATGGCGACCCGACGCGCCGCCGGCAGCAGCTGCAGCGTCTCGAAGCTGCTGTGCTCGGCCCGCTTCATCTTGTAGCGGTGGTTCTGGAACCAGATCTTCACCTGGTTCGGAGTGAGGCGGATCAGCCCGGCCAGGTGCTCCCGCTCCGGGGCGGACAGGTAGCGCTGCTGCCGGAAGCGGCGCTCCAGCTCGAAGGTCTGCGCCTTGGAGAAGAGCACGCGCCGCTTCCTGCCACGGCTCTTCTGCGCCGCGCCGCCCGCCGCAACCCGCTCCGCGTCCGGGGACTCGTCCGTGGAGAGCTCCGGGGATTTGGTCCCGGTACGGGACTCTAGGGAAATACCGTGTACTACAAAGGGAGAGAGGACAAGTAATCTGATTACTCTCAGTACTCTGAATACTCTGAAACAGACTGGAACACAGAAAGAACTTTCACCACGAGCATACTGGAATCATTCCTCTAAATCAATGAAGGTTTACATGTTTGTTTATAATCACTCGGCTCACATTTTATTTAGTTTCCTTTAAACTGAAATGTCACAAACCTCCATTCACAAAAATACTTTCATAAAGTTCAACATGGGTCTGAATGATGTGACGGCTCTCATCATCGACAACAGTTTTGAAGCTTTAACAGTTAATATTAATAGCGAGGCAGTGACGTAATTGGTGATTAAATAAAAACAATCCGATACTGTAGACAGTCACAGAAAAGAGGATTAAACGATGATCTAATGTATTTGTGATATATTAATAGTAAACATGACGTTGCATTTAGTAAATTATATATTTGAAGTAGAAAGACATCAATTTATAAGCAATTAATTAGCCAATTGATTTGGTAATTACGCACGAGCAGAAGTGTCAGAATCAAGAGTTTAGAGTCAGAAATGAGATATAAATATATAACTTCTATATCAATATGCTAAATATTCATATTTCTTTTTAAATAGTCCTCACATGAGAAGTGCAGGTTACCGGATCCGCGGCTCCACCGGCCGTAGCTTCCTCCGCCTCTGCCGCACAAACTCCGGCCGCTAAATCCCAACTTCTGCGCGTTTCCCGCCCCAGATGACGCCTCCGCGGAGGCCTCCTCGTCCTCCTCGGTCCCGGAGCCGCACCTTCCGTTCGGGTCCGGGAGATCCAGGATGTCGCGCACGGAGAAGCCCGTTTTTGTCGACATGATGCGCGCGGGGGGAGAGGAGAGAAGGAGAGAAAAGTTCCAGCGGTGATTCAGTCTCTGCTGCCCGTTAAAGAGGAGCAGTCAGCGGAGGGTTTGGGTCCATCAAAGCCGTTAAACGGAGCGGGAGCCCGGAGCTGCGCGGGGGCGACCGGAGAGGATTTAACGGTATGAAAAAAACATGAGGGAAGACATTTAGAGACTGTGCCCTCCGTCCCTTTCACCGGCCGTTAAAAAGGACGGAGGCGGGTCAAGTGGGGGGAGCAGCGCGTGAAGAGATGCTGGAGCTTCAGGGAGGAGGAGAATGTTTAATGATGGAGGGTTCAGAGAGAAAGAAGCGACTCATTTACATTTATTAGAGGTGATCCGCATCCTGTTAACATGTTTAGTCTCAGAGCTTTCAGGCATTAAAGACAGGAAGTGGAATAAATATAATATTAGTCTTGTTTTGTCACTATATATATGTGAGGAGATCCATTATGCAGTGTAAAACATAAGCATTGTGATTAAAAATCTATTTTAATTTACAAAACTAGAAAATATTTATATTTTTTTTTAACACAATTTTGTATTGAAAACAAAGAAAAAGGTGAAAAAAATGATTATTTTAAATGTAAAATAAAAAGTTAAATAGCTCAAGATAACATGAGGTAAAGTTCAATAAACCATTTACAACAAACAATAACATATACAGAGTTCCCCAATTCAATTACATTACTGTAGTTTACTTTTATTTACTAAATTAAAGCTTTAATGTTGTTGGTTAACTCCATACTGCAGGAATGAAATACTGGTGAGGAAATACTAAAGGCTCTGTGTGTATATATATATATATATATATATATATATATATATATATATATATATATGTGTATATATACATGATTTTGTTGTACATATAATATATCAGATTATAAATGCACTCAGTGTCTTCTGCAGCCTTTGAACAGAATATAATAGAACTTTATGAGCTTCTGTGCATACAGAACATTTAAGATGATTATCAGAGTGTCGGTGTTTGTTGTGAGGATTAACTCGAGAGTCAAAGTGTTTACTCACCAGCTGATGGACTCAGACCAGATCTTTATTCTCCCAGAAGAGAAATGATTTCTGCTCCTCTTCATTACTTTATGACGTCTGCTCTTCTTTCTTATTGATGCTTAATCAGTATAATAAAGAGGCATTTTGACAGGTTTAAATAATCAAATGAATTCCATTTTCCTGGAGTTGTGAATGTTGGGACAGACATAAGAAGTATATCAGTTTAATCCAAAACTTATTTCAAAAGAAAACATTTACATGATAAACACAGTTCATATTTAGGAGAGACAGAAGGGTTGCAATGTGTCCAGGATCTGTTTAGCCTTTAGCTTAGCACAAACACTAAGCTTTGAGAATAAATTACATCTTTCAACAGAGTCAAAGCGGTGATGTTGTATCTTCTTCTTTTGTTGAAGAAACAGATGCATCAATAATAAAAGCGGTAGACTCTCATGTTTACATGTTTACACATCACACATCAGCTGAGCTCAGACACAGAGACAAGACATTCAGTCTCTTTAGGAACCTTATTTACATGTGCTGTCAAGAAATGAAAGAACGTTTCTAGTTTTCTGTGCGCTGATCAGTCTTCTTGTGACTTCTTCTGTGGTATTGTCCTTAAACTATAACTGCTCTGAGAAACACATGCAGAGTTTAAAAAAGTCTTCAATCCTAAATATGAAATATCTGGAGTGCAGGAAATGTATCAAAACATTTCCTCACCGACTCCTTCAGGATTATTCTGGTTTTTGGCGACAATTTTTACAGTTTGTATGTTTGGTGAAGATTTTGGTTTTTACTTTGCTGTGTGTGTGTGTGTGTGTGTGTGTGTGTGTGTGTGTGTGTGTGTG